TGAGTTGTTGTTTTAAAAAAAAACCCAAAACAAAACCCTGTAAGCGATCAGCTTTTCCTTGTACCCGCTGTTTGTCGACCTGTGGTGGTAGTTTGTAAACGGGCCTGGAGGAGTGTTGCTTTAGTGGTGGATTTATGGTCTCGTCTCATATCTCACTGCTGCACAGATTTTGCTCAATCTGCCGGATTTAACTCAGTGGCCACAACACATTTTAAATGCATTCATAAAAGGCAGCATTTACAACAAATACTGACAACATGAGAAAAACAACCACTTGTCCTTCACTTATGATAAGCCCCCACTCCACAGACCTGGCTTGTATTAAAGTTTTCTCTCTTTTAGTGATGCACGTTAATCCCGCTCTTAAGACTCTTCCCAGACGTGATGGTATTGGTTACAGTGGTGGGATTTCCATCTCTTTTTGGAGAACCGGTGTCCTGGGAATCCATCCTACCTGACAAACCATCCTACCTGACAAACCATCCTACCCGACAAACCATCCTACCCGCTGTTTCTGCGCACACGAAATTAAGTGGCAAACCGTCCTACCTTTGTGAATATTATCTAGAAAAATTCAGCTCGGCTCACTAAAAAGATCCAGCTTTTTCGGCTCCCAACCAGCTCTTTCAGGTTGTTTTGTTGCTTTAATTAATTTATTATTAACAATAATATAAAATTATGCACAAAAGAATTACTAATGTAAAAAAATGGTTTTATTTATATGTTTATATATAAATGGTAAATGGCCTGCATTTGTATAGCGCTTTTCTAGTCCATAGGACCCCAAAGCGCTTTACACTACATTCAGTCATTCACCCATTCACACACACATTCACACACTGGCGATAGCAAGCTACATTGTAGCCACAGCTGCCCTGGGGCGCACTGACAGAGGCGAGGCTGCCGGACACAGGCGCCACCGGGCCCTCTGACCACCACCAGTAGGCAATATATACGGTGGCCCCTAGAGACAAAGCACGTACAAACTCCAAAACACATTTCTAGCATTAACTGAGCTTCCAAAACAGAGCTACCTAGATCACTTAAATAACACAATTGAAAGCATATGTGTATTGTTTGTGTATTTATACACAATTGTTACTTCCTGTTATTGTTACTTCCTGGCTTGTGTAGCCACTAGGTAACAAAAGCTCAACACTGCACCTAGCATTCTGTTGTCTTTTTTACGTGTTTTGGAGTTTGTACGTGCTTCAGAGTTTGTACGTGCTTTTTGGAGTTTGTACGTGCTTTGGAATTGGTATGTGCTTCGGGGCTTGTACGTGTTTTGGAGTTTGTACACGTTTTGGAGTTCGTACGTGTTTTGGAGTTCGTACGTGCTTTGTCTGTAGGAGCCACCATAAATATACTTTTATTTATTCACTCCACATAAAATGTAATAAATAAATAATATAATACAAAAACCAACTATTCACAGTTCAACTTTTAACTATTTAAATTTTCAGCTTTTTCCTTTTAAAAGTTTAAAGTGAAACAACACAAAACACTGCAAACCACAACACAATTAAATATAAATTATAATATGGAAAAAAAAAGAAGATGCACATTCTCTGTCATATGGGCCTGCATGAATAAACTTTCTGAATCCTTTGTCATCTGCAACTGAAAATAGTTGTGGATGATTACTATACCTTTCTAATGTGATGTTGTCCCTGGCTCTCTGTCTCTCCCTCCTGCTCTGTTCCTGTGCTACTGAGAGTGTAACTACCTACACTGGGCTGCTCGATTATGGCAAAAATGATAATCACGATTATTTTCACTGAAATTGAGATCTCGATTATTTGACGATATTTATTTAACCCTTTAAGACCTACTATAGAACCAAGTCCGCCAGAGCTTATATTATACTTTTACATGTTGTAGTGCCATTTGTGGGAGCATTTCAAGTTGCTATACAACTGTTATAGCCCATATTTTAATAATATGTATGCATTAAGTCCATAGGAACTACATTAATTGCAAAAAAGTGCAATAAACTACAAAAAAATTGAAAATCGTTTTTGGGTTTTTTTAACACATATTTCTACTTTGAGAAATTTAAGAGGTTTATCCCTCAAAACTTTAAATACAAAAAAGTTGCAAAAAATAGTTTATAACAACAGGAAATTTATTTTGAGTGTCTTCAAAGTTTTATTTTGGAGATACACTAATTTTTATATACACTGCAGGAAAAACAAAAAACAATCCTATGATGCAAATTTGCAAAGAAAACAGCAGGTGCATCAAAATAAACTATTTCCAGTAGTGCAATTCGAGTTCTAAGCATCTCAGAAACTATTCAGAAAAGTCAAACATGACCAGTATAGGCTTTTAAGGCCTACGAGTAAAAAAACTACAATTTCCGCGAAAATGACGTCACTTCCGGTTTTGGCCAGGAAATGGCGGACATGTGATAGTTCGCGCTGGCGTCTGTTTCACTGTGGGAAGTGTTACGAACAGCTGATCGGATCGGCAAAGCGTGTTTCTGGAATATTGTGTTTTTGTTGCTGCAAGCGCTTTTTATGCAGTTTTTGCAAAGCTTTATGTGGAAGGAAACCGTGACCGAGGACAAGCTGATGGCATCAGATGTAAGTACAACTCCTCCGGTTTCATATGCAAAACAAAATATTGCGCTAGCTTACACGGTTCAGGTTCTACAGGGATTTAAAAATAGTTACGCAACACGGAGCGTGCTGCTCTGACCGGCTTCAATGACTTTAAAAAATAATATAAAATAGTGTGCAACACCACTGAAGTTTTTTTTAAACTCTCTTTTCAACCAACGGCAGTCACTCTCCTCTCCAAATAACTTCTGCTTAGCTTTCCGAGCTTCCCTCGGGTCCTCTTAATCAGCGGTCTCCAACCTTTTTTGCGCCACGGACCGGTTTATGCCCGACAATATTTTCATGGACCGGCCTTTAAGGTGTCGCAGATAAATGAGGGAGGGGCTAATAATCGGCTCAGTCATTTTTAATGATCGTTGAAAGCCCAGATCGTAATCGTGATTAAAATTCAATTAATTGAGCAGCCCTACTACACTCGTAAGAGCTGTTTCGTTCGCGACAGAAACATCACTAATTGGTGATCAGTGGCCTGGCATTAGACATTAAGATGGAACTATAGAAAAGATCGCCTGTCATTAACCTGCTCCCATACCATTGATGTGCAGTGAGCAAAAAGCACCTATCCACTGCTGCAGGTGCTTACTTAAAGGCAGTATAAAGACTGCTGCAATGTAGTCAAAGATGTAATCATGTTGTCTGCAGCTGAGCTGTTGGTTAGTTGTGTTGTTCTATATTATCACTTAAAAATCTATATTTTTTAAAACATTTATTTATTTCCTTCTTTTCTCCTATTACTTTATTCTTCTTTACATCTGGTAGGTGTGTGTATCTGTGCAATTCACTTTCTCTTAAATTACTTTTCAGCATAACATAGCTAACACAAGCAATACAACAAAAACAAAAAACAGTCACAGGGAGGGAAATCTGTTGTGTTCACTTTTGGCCTCCAAATATTGTCATTGTCTCTGATTTTGCCATTGATGTCATCATTGATGTCATCATTGATGAGTTTTGCACTAGATAACAATTTGTCCCTAAAATTAGAGAGCCATCGTAGCACGAACGGAGCAAACCGCAAATGTTCAGTAGTTCGTAGCTGCACTTTTACCAACTAGTTTTCTTTGGAGGTTTGCAAAGATTTTTGACCCAACTACTAAAATTGTCATGAATGAAAAGCAATAACGATGCTTTCTCTCACTGTTGCTGTGTTTGATGTAAGAATTGTTGGGACGTTTTTACTGCACTTTTCAGAACATAACCTGTTGCATATGTGAAAACTTAGTTTGTCAAAAGTACTTGCATAATGATCAGGTACAATGTCTGTACAGACAGCGTACAGATTGATTGAATTATTCCACAGTTCAAAATGATTTTACAGTGACACTAAAGTCACTTAAACTGCAGAGGGCTAATGTAACCAGTTAAATTAAGCACAAGCGGACAACAGAGCATCAGTAATGGTACTCAACTTTAGTTCCTTATCTCCTGCAATTCAAAATGAGCGAAGGAGTCCAATCTTGTCCCCTGAGGAAACAGAAGATCTTCATGAGCTGCTCTATGCCAAAATCCTGCCGCTGAGCATGCTCTTTTGATTTATTGCGATCATGTTTAGGGGGCAGGAGCATGCATTCATGACTTATGGCAGCACCAGTTGAGGTCCATCTGTGTGCTGTCATTACCAGAAAGTCAACGGCAGATCCAGCTTCCTTCACCAACTTTCCAAGCCATACGTCGTCTCTTTTCTGAATGCTGCCTACTCAGCACACCACCACTGGACTTGGAGGTCATCATAATAAAACTACCAAACCTTCAAAGTTGTGTGCATACGCTTTATTGTGAATTGTGGAACTGAAGCCTCTGGCAAAACAGGCAAAGAGATGAAAACGTATCAGTTTTTTGGGTTGCAATTTAATATTGTGTATGCTTGTATTGGTGTTTAAGTCTTTATTTTATAACATAATGTTTCAGGAGAAAATTCGTGTTACAGATTGACTTTAGTTCGACCTTGTTGGGCACTAATCATGGGTCTTGTTAGAAACATCTAGATGTTGGACGACTAGCGTGTATGTTCCATGTCTCTATCCACAGATCAGGGACATGAAAAGGATAGAGGAGGATAAGATAAGCTGCTTTGGAAGATCTATTAACCTTATTCTTCTAAGATTAACACCTCCGTTCTATTTTGTTGTTGTTGTCTCCTGTGTCTCTATTGTTAAAATGCCTTGTTTTCTGTGTGTCTCTGTTTTTGATGCTTTTGTTTCCATGATAAAATATGATACTGACAGAATGAATCCGTATGAATGAAGGAATCTTTGGAAAGCAGAGTCTGCAAATTAAGAAGCGGCCTTCCGGATGATGGACCTCATCTTTCCAAGATTCTGAGGCCCAGTACAACTCATTAACCTTTTTTCTTTGTTTTCTTTATTTTGAACTTCCCAGCTTTCCATTGCCATCGAAGCGTTACACCCCTTCTCCTGCACCAGGGCCCCAACAGAGCCCCCTTCTGGGTGGGCTCCCAGGGAGCTTTTTACTGATCGGACAGCAAGCTGCATGCTTGCGGCTGGCTCAGCTGAACGCCCACCTTACTTTGACACAGATAAATAATGCTGTTGCTGTTGGTGGTCGAACCAACACACACGCCCCATTTATACCCACAACACCCCCCTGCCCGACAGCTGCAGCCATCAGTCTACTAAACCTTCTGAAGGTTGCTAACACCATGTCCCATCCCTTATATAACCCCTATGCCTCTGGGAATCAAAGTTCAGCCCAGGGGCGCTATGGACAAGCCAGTATGCAGGCAGAGAGAGACTCTCATAAGACATCTCCTCATCTTGGGCCTGGGTCCAGCTTTAGCTCTTCTGGAGTTTCATCTGCGACTCCTGCAAAATCTGGGGGAATAATGAGCTACAGGCCAGAAGGGAGTAAGACTTCAATGGAAGAGGACATAAAGAGGTCCATAGACATGCATATAAGCAGAGCCAGAGAGGAGGTGAGAAATCAGCCTGTAAAAAAGAACAGTTGTTTTACCAGCACTCAAAGAGATGAGTATGATTCTTCAGGCAAAGATGTGACTTCCTACATGTTGTCCTCAAACTCTCAAAGACCTCCTGATGTTGCAAGTAGCACTAGCTCCATGGACTGGTTGCCAAGATACAAACGGGAAACTGAGGATGATTCGTCTAAATACTGTTCATCATCTGCTTCATTGAGCTATCAAAGCACTGGCGACAGTAGGTTTAATGCCTCGAATGAAAGAGAGCACAATGTGCAATCCATTCCAGGCTTAGGTGATTATGACTACCCAGTGCCAGACAAACCTGTGGGTTCTGCAGAGTCTACTCGTCCCAAGTACACTTCAGAAACAGCTGTGAACATCCTTATGCAGTTTGGACTTGAAAAAGAGGACCTGGAACATCTGATCTCATATCCCGAAGATCAGATGACTCCTGACAACCTGCCTTTTATCTTACGACAAATCCGCATGGAAAAGGCAAAGAGATCTGCAACAGCAGATCCATCAAAATCCTACTATGATCCTCATTCCACCACAAGTATGAGTGGAAGGGAAAGGTTGAGTACTTCAAGAGGGGAAGGGATGCGTCAGGATGAATTGTCACCTATTGTCCAACCAAGTAAAGTGATTGATTATGGACATACTGGAAAATATACTGGGAGCTTTGGGGATGAAATTGGAAGAAGCAGCAGTGGAGCCAGTAGTGGTGGAAGTGGAGGTACGCTGCTGATGGGCTCCTATGATAGTAGCGGTCACAGTCGAGAACCACTGCAAAAAAGTATGACAGAGGTGAAAAACAGCACCTTGGTTTCTTCCCGTGATCAAGGCAGCTCTTTTACCAGTCATGGCTCAATGCGAAGTAGTGGTCCAGCTCAACAACTGCCAACACAACCAAACCAGCCTTCTCAAGAAATCTTCAAAGGTTTCTCTCTGCCAAAGACAGACACAGACATAAGACCTCTTAAAGCAGAAGTCACTAAAACCCTTCCGTTGAAAAATCCAGAGCCAGATCGCCATTCAGCATCAAAAAGCCAACTAACTCCTAATATAGTTCGTAGTGTGCATCCAAGTCGACCTGGCCTTGTACTCATTGGCAGCAGCAGCAGCGACAGTCACATCAAAGAAAAGAGTAAGACTCACGGGCAAGTATCAAATGTTTCTGAGCAGATGAACAAACAGCAAATCCAGCAGAAGCAGGTACAACAGCAACAGGTGAAACAGACAATGCAACAACCACCACCAAAGCAGCAGATGCAGCAACAGTTGAAGCAACAACAGTCAAAGCAGCAGCAGACACAGCAGCAGCAGACGGAGCAGCAGCAGATGCAGCAGCAGACGCAACAACTGAAGCAGCAGACGCAACAACTGAAGCAGCAGCAGCAGCAGACGCAACAGCAGCAACTGGAGCAGCAGCAGACGCAACAACAATTAAAGCAGCAGCAGCAGATACAACAGCAGCAACTGAAGCAGCAGCAGCAGCAGCAGCAACAACTGAAGCAGCAGCAGCAACAACTGAAGCAGCAGATACAACAGCAGCAACTGAAGCAGCAGCAGCAGATGGCCCAGGTACCTAACCTGCCGATTGGGTTGCAGCAGATGCAGAATCAGCCAGCTGTGCATATGGGACAAGCTTTGCAGTCTCAAGTTTTTTCGGCTGCAAAGCCAGTTCCACAGCCGTCCCTCATGCCAGGGCTCACGATGCCCGTTCCTCCGGGTCTCTCGCCGCTAATGCAGAACCTCGTGAATTTCATTCATATACCGCAGCCCGCTTCCACGAAGCAGCTTCCAGCAAAGGTAGAAGTGACAGGGAATATCCCAGTGCTGGCCCAGATGCAAGACTACACTGCCACTTCACCTAGGGTCTTTCCTCATACCTGCTCTCTATGTAACAAGGAATGTACTCTGATGAAGGTAAGTGGAAGATTGTTCGATGTTTTTGCTTTCTGTCGGTTTTTATTTATTTGACATGCAATGTTTTTTGTTTTGTTTTTTATTTGATTTTGGATCGAATTATAGGACTTTGGTTTGGGAAAAACTTCATGTATGCTACTTTAAAGTTTATTTGTTTGTTTTGTTCACTATTCCTGCATGATGGTGACTATAGGAAGACTACCAACTTGGCTTGCAAACATTTGGACACATTTTTCACATATTTCTGCAATTCAGTATTCTGTACCAGAATTTCTGAAGGATTACAGCGCAGACTAAACTTAACTATATGTCTATCAGATATTGTAATTGAAAAACACTACTAATAAGAGACCTTCAGAATCTTCAGTGGTCTGTACTTGCAATTGATAGATTTAATCTCTTTTAAATTGACATAAACTGATGCGAAGACATTCAAGGATTTTGCTAACAATGGAACCAAGGCCTCAGATGACGTGATGAGGAGAAACCTGCAAACCTGACGAGCCTGTGCATCAGAAAACGTTGGAAGACGGCTGTTTTTTCATTTGTCTCTGTTCTTGGGCTGCTGTTCCACAGTGCACATTCAGCTTTGCTTTTTCTGGAACTGTTGCTGAATGTGAAAGTTCCCCTTTTTGTCTTTTGTCATTAGAGTTAAGAATAGTGTGTTTTGTCCTTTATTTCACATTTGTTTTTGTGTAATACTCGCTTCTTCTTTTTTTTTACTCATACTTTCTTTTTAAGTTAGTGTTTCTGTGTCCCAAAAGGCAACATCATTTACTACCACAAACATAAGCACCCGCTGCGCCCAGTCATGAGCTACACAAGCACCAGATTTGATTTGATTTGTTGTTGAATCTCTCTTTATGGATCGGCCTTCCTTCGCTGCACCAAATTTCACATTTGAGCTCCTCGTCAAAGAAACAGCGCCTTCCTCTTCTGGTCTATTTCAACGTCATCTTCCTGTCGCTACTCCAACTGTGATCGTCATAGGTGGTGCATTTTGTCCTAATCCAAACTTGGCCTCTCCTGAGACGACCTTCTTGGAGCTTCGGGAAAGTTTGATGCCATAAGAAGAGCCTGAGAGTCCAGAATCCAGAGCCTAATTGACCTTTTGTTTTGGTTGTTTGTAATCAGATGTTTGACTTGTGTTTTCTATATATACTAAATAATTTCACTTTTAAAATTTGATCCCAGGAAAGGTATAATGTGTCATGCTTATTTGTTCCTGGTTTTTTGCCTATGAAGGTTTAAATACAATCCAGGCTCCTGGCTAATGTTATAATGCTTCTGCGTTCAGTGAAGGACTAACTGTTAATATTTTAAGAATTTTTTTTAAGGCCACTGCAAAGTTTAGTGACCTTTTATCAGCAAGTGATGTCAATGACAAACGTTGCTCCTGATAATAATAAACCTTGTCTAAATGTTTGTTTTTTGTTGTGACCACTAGGATTGGGTCTCCCACCAGAATACCAGCCTTCACATTGAGAACTGCAAACTTCTGCGAAAGCGGTCAATCTTTCTTCTCTGTACTTCGTGATTATGAACCGATATCTTTGGGGCAGCACAACCATGGGTGTGCCAAAATGATGCCGGGGTTGTAATGCTAGGATAGCTCCCTAAGAACTGTTCATTTGTATTTTTTTAATTTAAAGCACCTTAATGATTTGCAGCATTTACCATGAGCCATTTTCCCTAACCTAAATTGTTATGAAGCTGAATAAATTTCTTAATTAATGAACAATAATATATTTTTAAGGACATTCTACCTTGCAACATCTGACAAAAATGTATCTGTGTTTTTCCACAGATACCCAGAATGGAACGGTGAAATTGCATCACTGCTAGGGTAAATATCTTCATGTGAAGTCATCTGGCGAAAGCCTGCAGCATTGGAGGCTTTCATTTTCTTTGATTTAACATGTGCCTTTCTTTTTATATGCAATTGTTAGTGCATCAGGTGCCAAGCCCTCTCCCTCAACTTCTGCTGAGACTTCCCAGAAGAAAACCAGACACGAGAGTCGTTCCCGTTCCTGCAGCCCCCGGAGCCATCGTGACTCGGAGCGTAGCAGGGACAGGCAAAGTAGCCGTTCCCGCTCTCGCAGCCCCCGCACTCATCGTGACTCGGAGCGAAGAAGAAATAGGCCAAGTAGCCGCTCTCGCAGCCCCCGCACTAATTGTGACTTGGAGCGAAGAAGAGATAGTCGAAGTTGCCGTTCCCGCTTCCGCTTCCGCTCCGGCAGCTCACGTCGCCGCCATGAGTCGGAGCGTAGGAGGGACAGACGAATTAGTCATTCCCGTTCTCAATCACGCAGCCCCCGAAGGCAGAGACACAGAAGCCGATCACGATCTCCCTACAGCTCCAGACGTAATCGCAGGTCTGTCCAACATACATTTTGAGAACTAGGATCAATCAAGAAGATTTAGCTCTCCAGTGGAGAGGGCGAAATGTAATTTATTTAATAATGTAAACTTAAACACACTTAATTGGTGGACAGTATTTACCTTTTGTATCCATGGTGTGTGCTTTGAGATGTTTTTATTTTTATTTTTGAGTCATTAAGTTCTTTGATTAATACTTTTTTCAGGTCCCGGTCTCATTCTGACTCCTCATGGTATGACCGTCCTTCCTCTTCACGATATCGATCACGCTCAAGGAGCCGTGAGAGGCGATCCTTGCCGAAAAGAAGAGATGAAAAACGTTCACCACCGAGGAGAAGCTGGGAGAGCCGGTCGTTGGCAAAGAGGTCATCTCCTATGCGAAATAAGTCGAGCAGCTCGAAGATCTTGGCGAAGAAACTGCTGGAAACATCAGGTTGGAAAATTGCTTCATGGTATTTGGGGGTTTTTTGGGGTTTTTTTTGGTATGTACTCATTGGTTTTTCTAAAATCAAAGTTATGTTCACTTGTCAACCCCCCTCATAACATTAACTATACTAATGCAAATCATAAATAAAGACCAGTACCACCAGAAAATGTCAGTATAGTTTTTTCTACGATTATAAAACTTGTAGAAGCAGTAGATGATTTTTGAGACTTGGGACCCACCAAAGTGTGAATCTCTTTTGTACCTGTGGTCTTTTAGCTCTCCAGTCCTTATCAAAACAGTCTGACCTG